GGGAGTGACATTGGTTACTTGGTCCTCTAAGGCTTGCACGCGCTCCACTAGGTTCTCGATCCTGGACTCAAGATTGCTCTTACGGGCTGCTTGGGATGCCAAAAGAGTGAGGACTTGGTCGAGCTTGGCGTTATATTCTGAGGAATCCTCGAGGGACTCACATGACTGCTCAACAGGCCTGGACTCCCACTGCTGCTCGTAAGGATACGACCAAATCTGGCCGTTGTCCCAAGAATCGTAGAATGGAGGTGGCTGGTTCAATTGGGCACATCGGGTTGTTGTCTCTTTTTCCTGAGCTAACCGGGATATTGCGAAATCATAGATACGGTCGAGCTTCTCGTTGAACGCATGGGACTCATAATATTGCTCGACCGGGAGGGGGTCCCAGTACTGCTCGGAAGAGTAGGGATAAGATTGAACGTGGTACCTGGTATGGTATCTTGGCTCATGGACCCAAGATTGGGTGTGTGAATAGGGGAGCACACGGTTGCAACTCATACTACATGCACACCAAAACAGAACAACCACGCGTAGCCACGAAAAGACAAGAAAAAGAAAACAGAAACAAGAAAGACAAAAAGAAAAACAAATATGCACAAAAGAGAGAACAAAATTACGAAAATCAAGAAAATAAGAGAAACACAGAAAATAAAATCAATACCAAGACCAAATGTCCTACTTTCCTTCCCCGGCAACGACGCCAAATTTGTTGTGTACATATTAATCTTTTTACCGAGTACCGAATCAAAAGATTCGTTCCCCGGGTTGATCTCACGAGGAAGGCGGTTCAGAATTTAAAAATGGTATCGATCACACACAAAAGAAAATAAAATCCTAAACACTCTAATCAGATAAGGGGGATGAATAATTATCAACTAAGAAATAAATAACAATGCAAAAATTTAAATCTACCTAAGAGTATGGATGACACGAAGATGGAGAAGCTAGAGAATCGGGGATAATTAATTCAAGTTTTAGCAAAGTCGGACATTCAATTGTTCAGTTCAAGATTGACACTCTTGCTTATACATCTAGAGGTTCGCTCCCAATAACTTTTCGTAACAAGGGATTGAACATAAACGTACAAGCTCGAGCATACAATACGGGCCAACTATCCCAATCCCAATAACTTTTCGTAACAAGGGACGGGTCATCGACTCGCACGTATTTCAACCGAAAACCTATAGACTATTCAATTACGAAATCATCTACCTCATGTGAGTCTATTTCTACGACTTCTCCCCTTTGGGTTCTGAAATTCGCTAATTTAACTAGAAGAGTATTAATCGACTAATCACATAGAATCAACAAAACCCTAACTCGACTAATCAATATTCAATTATTTCTAATTGCAAGATTGAAGTGTCACTCTTCGACTATATCAACAAATCAAGCATGAATTCATTAATTCCTAATCAATTCAACCCACACAAGCATGAAAATATCAAAGCCCGACAAATGCATGTTAAACAAGAACAATCATCCCCTATCCCTAGCAATCAGATTCAGTTACGTAAAATCGATTCAACACAATCAATCATTCTCTCCAAATCAACCATTTTCAGGAATTGAATAAAAAGAGAAACTTACAATTAATCCCAAGTTCAAGTGTTGAATTCCAAATACAAGCTTAATCCCTAATTATTAACAAGAAGAAAAAAATAGAAAAGAAGGGTGAAGAGAAGAGGAGAAGAGAGGAAGAGAAGAATAAGGAGGAAGAACAATGGAGGGAGGAGTCAATTTTTGGAGTTAGGGTTCCTCCCCCATCGAGCACCCCCCTCTTCTCTCGTCTACTATGAAAAAGATGAAGAAAAACTGAGTTTGGGGGTCTTGGGTTCGATCTATTAAGCTTCCCCTTCGAAAATCCGCAGAAATCGCCTCTGTTACAAAAAAGACCTTAGCGCCGCTAATGGGTTAGCGGCGCTAAGCCTTCTTAGCTGGTTTCCTCTGTCCCGCTTAGCTGCCAAAACCCCGCTAACCACACAGGCCTTAGCGGCGCTAAGGTCCCCGGCAGCTTTGCATGACTTCACGGTTTGGGCTCGTTCGGGCTCGTCTGGGATCGGAATTCAATTCCGCTTTTTCCTATGCGTCGATAATGAGCCCCTCTTTCTAATGGTGTTAGCTTACCCAAAAGATTCTCGATAACCTGTTCTCCCGAGGTCTCCAAACTACACACCAAAAACGAAAAGAGAACAGAAAAAGACCGGAAAACAAACGAAAACCACCACAACACTCAAATGAACGCAAAACACATAATAAATGACAAAAAGATCCTAAAACCACCTAAACGACTCAATACGGGGGAAAAAGAACGGCAAAAAGACAACGAAAGACACAACAAAAATGGGACAAACACTTTTCATCTCAGTACTAGAAGCTAGTCGGGATAAGGCGTCCGCTTGAACGTTAAGAGTTCGGGGAATGTGTTCAACATCAACGGAGAATTTTGATAATTTTCGTTTCACTAAGGACAGATATGGTGTCAACCGAGGTTCTTTGACTTCATACGAACCATTGATTTGGTTGACAAGGAGTTGGGAGTCTGAAAAAACTTTGAGGTGTTTTACGTTCATGGATTCAGCCAAACTCAATCCGGATAGTAAAGCTTCATATTCGGCTTCATTGTTGGTTGCAGGGAAGAGAAATTTCACCGAATGACAGAATAATCGATTTTCTGGATTCGCCAGGACTATTCCCGCACCTGCTCGGTTTGCTGTTGAAGAACCGTCGATGTAAAGAACCCACAGTTGGTTGTCATCATGAACTTCTATAGCCGGGGTGAATTCGGCGATGAAGTCGGATAGGGCTTGTGCCTTGATCGCGGTCCTCGGTTGGTAATGGATGTCGAATTGTCCGAGTTCAATTGCCCATTTTATCATGCGTCCCGAAGTGTCAGGTCGGTGCAGGACTTGTCGCAGTGGATATGAAGTGCGGACAGTTATGGAATGTTCTTGAAAATAAGGTCGCAATTTCTGAGTGGCAATAACAAGTGCGAACGCCAACTTCTCCATAGGAGGATAGCGTAGTTCGGCATCATGTAGGGCCTTGTTGACGTAATAAATGGGTGACTGTATCATCCCTTCTTCACGTATCAAGACGGCGCTAATTGCTGAATCACTAACTCTGAGGTATAAGAATAGCATTTCCTCGGGTTTCAGTTTCTGTAACATTGAAGGGGAAGCAAGAGTTTCTTTAATGCTGGTAAGTGCTTTTTGATACTCTTCGGTCCACTCAAAACGCTTCCCTTTTTTGATCGCTTTAAAGAACGGTTTGCAACGGTCTGTAGACTTGGAGATGAACCGATTAAGAGCTGCAAGTCGGCCAGTCAGGGCTTGAACACCCTTGACCGAGGTCGGGGGAGTTAGATCTTGAATAGCTTTTATCTTGGCCAGGTTGACTTCGATTCCACGTTGGCTGACCATATAGCCTAGAAATTTTCCAGACTCAACTCCGAAGGTGCACTTCTTGGGATTTAAAACCATAGAATAAGATCGGAGGATATTGAACATGTCCTGAAGATGTGTCATATGATCAGAAGCGTATACCGATTTTATGAGCATGTCGTCTACATAGAATTCCATGGTATGACCTATCAAATTGGCAAACATCTTGTTGACAAGACGCTGATAAGTGGCCCAAGCGTTTTTTAATCCAAATGGCATCATTGTATAACAATACAAGCCCCGCGCCGAATAAAACGAGGTGTGTTCTGAATCTCAGGATCCATAGGATATAACCAGAGTAGGCATCCATAAAGCTCATCAACTCGTGTCCCGATGTGGCATCAACAATATAATCTATGTGCGGGAGCGGGTAACTGTCTTTCGGGCACGCTTTGTTCAAGTCGGAAAAGTCGATACACAACCTCCACAGGCCATTGATTTTCTTGACGAGGACGGGGTTTGAGACCCACGTTGGATACTTGGCTTCTTTAATGAATTTGTTGTCGATGAGTTTCTTAACTTCCTCTTCCAACGCTTTCTGACAATCCGGCCCCAA